GCCCTCGCGTGCCTGCGGGATTAATGCAGCCTCGGCGCCCGGCGGAGTCCGACGCCCCAGTTGAAACCGCCCTCGGGGCGCTTTGTACAGCGGTTAAACGTTGCGACTTAATATTGACTCAGGCTTTAGAGACCTGCGGACGTGAACCGGGCTCTCCCCTCCAACGCTTCGTTAATACTCTTAAGCTCCGATTACAACTGCTGCTTCCCGCCCTGACTTGATCTCGCTCCCTTCTGACAGCTTCCCTGGGATGAGACTTCCCCTGCTGAAAAGTGCGTTTGACTCGCGGCCTGGAAGCGTGTCATTTAGCAAGGCTTCGGGGTTGGTTTGCTTAGCGTTTGCCCAGGCAGAACAAAGCACGCCAGCAGGAAGCCCCAGCACAGAGAGGGGAGTGGGAATGCCCGGTTTGGGCAGCTGCAAGGATGCAGAGAGGAGGGTCAAACTGTGCCTGGAGAGCGGAGTTACAGGTCCTGCAGCAACGGGGCAGGGAACCCGGGGAGGGGGCAGAGTTAGGAGGACCCGCATCGGTCGCCACGGGCAAGCAGGGCAGCTACGGAGGCGAGCGTACGCCCATGGAAACAGTGACGAGCGGGGAAGTGGTTGTACGGACCAAGTTCAATCATCCCGGCTTAAACGTCTGTCACGGTGGAGAAACAAAAGCGTGGTCGGAAGCTAGGGCCTGCAGGAATGACAGAGAGGCTCTCCTTGTCTCAGGGGGACGTTTTGACTCGGATTTTCCGTAACCTTGGTGTCTCTGCGGACCTGAACGTTTTCCCCACACACATCTGCAAACTACCCGCCATTGCTTTCGCCTCTGCAGACACCAGCCTCCTTCTCACCTCTCCTGCCATTGCATCTCCCCAAACAAATGGTAAAATTATTTTTCCTTTAAATCACAGCTAATACAATAAAACAAAGCAAAATAATTAAAAAACTGGTTCAAAATTCTCCCCATGAGACTTTTATGCAGCTGTCTCAGCGGGGAAAGAGATGTTCTCACGTATTTAGAAAGATGCATGAAAATACTAAGAAGAAAGAAAGTCTTAATAGTTTCAGTACAACTCTTCAAGACCGGGCGGAGTTCCCCTAGGTCCCTCTTACGCCTTTTCAGTGTAGGATGACTCAAAAGCAGATAAAACAACTAATGCTCTCTTTTTACTGGTTGAACAGCTTCTTTATAGTTGGTACTAGCATAGAAGTACCTTGCATCGCGTAGGGCTCTATGCCTCCCTCTGCTGCCATCTGGGCAGAAGCGTTCGGTTGACCCTGGCAGCTTTGAATCACTTAATTTTAGGTTTTTAGTAAACAACAGTCATACATCAACATCCAGGGAGCTCCCTATCCAGCTTTCCTAAAGTTATTTAGGTACGTTTTAAAACCACTTGAATTATAAAGCCAAAGCATTAACTGTTTTAATTTAGTCAGAGATGTTAACTCTTCTGCTAGCAGAGTTATAAAGTAGAAGGCAATATTGCATGTAACCCTGCTGATGTAATTCTGCTGCGCCATGCCAAAGTCTCAAGTGCACGCAGCAATGGCTCGTATGCTCCCATACCTTACATGTTGAACAGGCAGCAGCTATGACAAAGCTTGCCTGCAAATTTACACGCAAGCTAAAACCTACCCCTTGGTGTGCTGCCGTATTGCACCAACTCATAATGAGAAAAGTCTCTCACAGCAGGAAAGGTTGCAGACAGAAACAGTGTATTGCCCTACAGAGAGTAAGTTAGAAAGGGAAGAGAAGAAAAAAAATATTCCTTAGCGCTGAAAAAAAATCATACAAATAGGTGGCTTGGAGCACAATCTCCAGACACATATATGGAAAGCAAAGAGGGAGCTATAGCTCAGCCTGCCAGAGGCCTGGCCATTTGCTGCGTGTGTGATGCAGCTTCTTGTTACAGCTATTGTTAGACAACCCTCGTCTCCCCGACCGCAGAGTCCCCTGGCATCTCATCCCTTCAGCACCATCACAGCCCTGCTCTCGGGCTGTCCCAAAATGCTTAGCCCTCTCCCTATGACCACACAGCAAAACATGCAGTAGCAGAAAAGAAAGATCAGATCAGATCAGATAAGCCAGTTAAAAGGCTTTGCAAAATTATTTTTAGGAGAACAGAGGCAAAAAGCTGGGGAGAAAAGGTTAAAGGAGATATCAGCACTTCCAACCCTTGTTGTCCTCCAGGCAGCAACACTGAACAAGTAAAGCTATGACCGGGCATCA